TGTACATTCATTTGAAAGCAGTAGCTCTTCTTCCTTCTCATCATACATCTCGATTAGAGTTGCCCGGTAAGCTGTAAGATGGTTTTGGATTCAAGAGCTTTGAAATTAGAAAAACTTGGTATTAAATCCTACCATCTTCCCTTGTATCGTCTATAACAGCCATGTCGTTACAACCTGCCATATAGCAAAAACCTTTTGTGTCTGAGCTTACAAACAATGCCTTCGTGACTCCCTCATGGGGGCATTGGGCCCATTTTGTAAACGTTTGCTGCAAAAAAGAATTGTTTTTGAGTAATTATTTTCGAATAAGATAAAAATGAAACCTTGTCTTCAGCAGAACACTCTCCACAGATTGTTCCCATTGTTTGATTCTTGAGATCATCAGTCATATTGCACATCCTTGAACTCTCATTTCAAGAAATCTTATGTTATATAAATTAAATTTACCTAATTGAAGGACGCCGTATCTTTGAGATTCCACCACCAGAGATTAGAGCTAAGTTCATGAAATCTGGCTCACCATCATTTTTATGTGCAGACAGTTGCAGCAGTTCTCAAATAATCCTCATTCTTATCGTAACTTTAATGAAAATCATCGATTCATGTTATATGGCATAAAAGTTCTGCGTTTTGAAAGTGCCTGCTGCTTTTTCTTTTTAATTTGACAAAGCAGTGACTTTTTTTATGGAACTAAGGCTGATTAATTGATTATCTGATTCTATTTTTGGTAACTACATATGCCAGTTTTTACCATGTAAGTAGCGTTAGGAGTATTTCCCATATAATGAAACATAGGAAGAGGCAATGCTATCAATTCCTGTATTGTCTTACCTATTACCGATTTTAATTATGGTTCATGACCATTAGCATCATGGAATTACCAAGAGACCTCCAGAGAATCTATCGGGATATATGAGAGCTTGCTTCAAAAACGCACAAATTTAATCAGCTACATTCGTATTTTCGTTGAACTACAAAAATTCTTCTAAAATCATTTCCTGTTTTTAAGTGAAAAGAAACACTAAAAAGTTCAATATATACAAGTGAAAGCGGTGCTAAATATTGCGCACTTCTAAGTGCAAAATATAGAGTAAAATTTTTGGGACACATGTCTGTCTGTAAACTAGAATTTGAATTTAGATCAGCATTATATTATTTAGACTTACTTATCCATAAATTCATGTATTCTA